TAATGAGTTCAGTCATGTAGAAGAAGAAATAGCTCACAAAAACAAATGATTAATTCCATTTACTAATATATTTGACTATAAAACTTTACAAATATGTATTTAAGGTTATATATACATAATTGAGAAAAATACATCATTTTGCAAGGAAAGGGGATCGTAATTCTTACAGGAGTAACATTGGCAGTACAAATACATAAAAATATTTTCACATTAAAATGTATTTTCGCTAACATTTCTGTGCTGAAGAAACTCTTAATGACGACCACAGTAACATTAACTTTGGATAATTAAGCACTCTCAAGCATAAAAGGGGACAATGCTGGCTTTTCAGAGCAATGCATATGTACAAGCACATAAAACCACACGTTACCATCTCACAGCCTCATAAAGGGAAGAAATCGCTGTAGTTTCTCAGTAGATCAAAGTGAATTTACTAATATTGACTGTATAGTTGTTCTTGGTGTGCTCTAGTCGCTGCAGTTCCATTGGTCTAAATTAGACTTGGCAGCAGATTAAAATCAAGCTTAACAACATCTCTACATTTTCTGCATCAACAAATTAATACTTGCACCATTCTCATGACAATGAAACTTCATTCAGTAGTTTGGAGGTGTATTCTGCAGTAGTACTTAGTGCAGGCAGAACTGCTGTGCCCAAAATCAGACCGTGTTAATTTGGCTTACAGCAATAAGGGCTGGAGTGTAAAGTTAAAAAAAAAAAAGGAGGATGTGTCAAACCCAGCTTTGTTGCAGCAAGTTCACACTGTCATGACTATTTATTTGATCCCTGGAATTTTAAGTGATTACAGTGCCACTTAAAAATGACAATGTGTGTGGAAGGGAAAAGAGACAACTGAAGAATATTGAAATAATTTATGGGGACTAACCAAATTTGGAAGACGGCAAATTGAGTCAACTCATGTCCACTCAAGACCTTCAGGTGGGCAACAAATCCTTTAAAATGGGCGGGTGTTTTAGACCAAGATTCTCTAAAATGCCCAGACTGCTTCATCACACTCACATTCTGACCCAGCTTGGACTAATGGGATAAGGATGAAGGTCCTTATTGTAGTGGTGGAAGTAGAAACAAAAGCATTTTTTACAGATGTGCGCCTCCAACGTGGAGAATAAATCACTCATTTAACTGACTGCAAGTGCATTTGATTTGAGAGGAAGTCACTGAAAGTTACTCAGCAGTTTAAGTCATGCCTTTGACCTTTATATTGTAAAAGGATTAACCTTTTGACTGAACCGTCTGATGATGCACACGATCAACAGTTACAGTGCCCGTATGTACAAACCATAGCATAAAAGTGATGGGAAATAGTTACGGTGGAAAAGAGTTTATCAGTTCCTAAGAGCAACAACTTGACAGCCTGGATTGAGAATCAGGTGCCCTCCGGATCCAGTCCTGCTCAAAAAATGGTGTATTTTTTATTCTATGTATTCTGTTCATCGTCCAGTGTGTCCCATCTCTGAATGTAACTAAGACAACAACTGTTTTAGTGTATCAATGAAATTAACAAAATAGTCCTCTTAACGTACACACATTAAGGCATAATTGATCCAGAAGAGAGAGGGGGAAAAAAAGAAGAAGAAAAAGCACAGCACAAAGAACAACCTAATGTGAATCAACACCAAGCACACCCCTTTTCAAGGCTTTGCCTCCAAGCCCAGCACTGCTCACAATCTGAACGTCAGTAGCAAAGAAACAGTCGTGAGGACTGTTTCTTTGCCTACAGTGTCCAACAAAGTATCTGGCATGACCCTCCCAGCCAGATACTTGACCGTTGATACTGGATCAGTCTTGGAAAGGAGAAAATTTCCGCTGCAGAACCCCAGAGGACAGCAGAAAGACAGGTGAATGGGGAGTAGGCAGATGGACTGACAGGAAGCCACAGACATACACGACGATCCGGATCCCTGGATCACTGGATGACTTCAAAGTAGTGCAAGATGGCCATGATGTGCTGTGGCATGAACACATAGCCGGTGTATATGGCCATACCAGCCACAGAGATCAGCAGGGAGTCTGAAGGAGAGACGTTAAGGAGGAATTTCTGAAGACATTCAAGTTTTACTGCAGGGAACCACAAACAAACTAACTGATGTGCCTTCAACAATCAGTAGCTGGTAATGTGATTTACATCCAACAAACACTGCCTGCTAATGGATACAGGCTGGCAGCCAGTTACACCTGCATGCAAATGTTTGGCCACCAAACAGTCAGTGACCTCTTTTCCTGGTTTGTGAATAGAAAAGATATCAATACAAGCCCTGCAAAATGTTAACTGGCTTATATAACAGCTGTGGCTAAAGTGTAGACACAAAGTCTCATAATTTCAGTAAGGCAAGTCAAACTTTAGTGGTAAATCTTCTAGCAACTGGAAAGAATTTCAAACTCGTTCGGCAGGATTTACATTCCAGAAAGCAGGGAGGAAAAAAATATTTGAAATAACTTTAAAACTATGTACAGAGATAGCCACAATAATGCTCTCAAAATCACACTATTGAGCGTAAAGCATGTTTACACACTTTATAATTACCTTGCTAATGTAAACAGGAAAGCAGACTGTTGCCATCATTTTGCTCAAAGCATGGTCCAATAGACATTTTCATTGTTGAATGTCCTTGCTGATAGCTATCATATAAGATCACCACTACACAAAAAGGCAAGTTGCAGAAGGCTCTGCAGCTCTTATACTTGCTGCTTTCCACAGGCAGCATCTTCCAGTGGGAATATGTGACACTGTTGTCTTGCCTGACAAAATTACTGTGCTTACAAGAAAATTAGCAACCGCATCACACACACATCTGAAAGCTCCTGGTTCTTCAAGGACAGAAACTGCTGCTTTTTATCATCTTACATTTTTAACTTATGACTCAAAAAGATCATTTACAGTACCAGGAAACTTTAGGTGGAGGAACTTCAGTGTTTATTTTTGCTCCATTTAGCTGTAAATGTTGTACAAAACAGATTTTAAACTTGTGACAGGATGTTTTGCAATGAAAATAACCTTGGAGGTCACAGCTCTCTACAGAGCTGTACACCTTCTATCAAGTGACCAGATATTTCCTAACAGATTTGTCAACCAAGAAATTTTGTCAGTCACTGACATTTTCTAACGCTCATTCACTTGCTATTCCCGATAGGAAAAGAAACAGGAAAAAACCCAAACCCTTAAATACTTACAAAACCTACAAAAGTCTCATCAGCCACTGGAAGTTAAGTTCATCGTAGCCATAATCTGCTTCCTGTAGATCAACAATAAAATAACCAGTGTGATCCCTGAGCGACTGCGTCAAGTTATTTGATGAGATGCAGGCCGATAACGATCAGGAAGACACGGTAACACACCTGACCCTCGGAGGGAGACGAGATACACCCCGACAGTGACGCCATCATGCACAGAACGTGATACTGATGACTTCCTGCACTGCCACAGATCAAAGTACAGTCATAAAACCATCAACAAGGGGTACACTCTAATTATTAACTTCGTTCAGTTAACATTGTTTGCGTTTTTTTAAAAGCATAAAATTAAAATAAAGGTCATACGTAACGTGTATGTACTTCACGCGACAATCACCTGACCGACTCTCTTACAGTAGCTGAAGCTAGCTTAGCTTTGATGCCGCCCAAAGAGTAAACTAACCGCACACACGCTGGACTTGAAAGGCAAAGTACACAGCACGACAACAAAGTGTGAAACATTCTTTAATGTATCAATGAAAGGAATTTGACGCTTTACTCAAGTCTGTCACTACAAACACGTTTCTTTATGTCAACTAGGTTATGAACTAGGAAGCGGTTTACGCACACATCGCTCCAGTTTTCATCCGTTTATACACAAACCAATTACAGATTAAAACACAACTTGTAGAATAACATTTAGAGCAGTCTCTACAATGTGGCGGATGAGTGTTCAATTCAGAATTGACTAAGCTGTGAACTCTTTAGCTTTCAACGATAACAAGGGCCGACTCGGTCTATATGCCGCATTTGCCATAAATCACCGCTCATGTGTTAAAATGCTGTAAATGGTTTATACAAACAACTGAAGCTATGTTTACTTTTACCCAAAGTTAGCGCTATCAGTGAAAGATCTAGGCCAGTCAGGCTAGCGTTCGGCTAAAGGTAGCAAATTAGCTCGGTAGTACATCCCTTCAGAAGCCACTTCAATACGGAAAAAGGATACTGAACACCGTCCTCTCCCAGGGCTCCAGCATGTACAAGGCTGTCACCAGAAGATACTGGTAGTAAAACCAGGATAACTGCTTCCAACACTCTCCAAGTGCCATGGTCCAACTTTTAAAATCAACTTTGCTCCTTCCTCGCGGCTCTTATCCTCTTTATGTTTCGTGGTGAGGTGTTTTGTGCTCACGTAAGGTTTAATCGCGAGGCGCTGGTTTCCGGCAAATCACAACTCCGCGTTCAACCGTATGATTGTGACGCAGACCAGGGTGTTCCACCTTCCTAATTTCAAAATAAGAGTCAAAAGTAACTTTCAACACCACATCAAAGTTGGATTTATACTCTATGTTTCAGAACAGCAGCTCTATTTTTATTTGCTTGTTTATCTTGCTTTGCCTTAACCGAGTGCCCATCTTAGTGTATTTTCTTTCCATTAAGCATCAAATATCTTGGTTCTTTAAAACAGATTTTGAGTCACCCCCCAAACCAAAGCACTCTACTGGCCCAAACACTCACTAAAGCACTAAATGTGGATCATTCCATGGCTGAATAGATTCCCCAACAAAATGCTATACTCCCCAGTTTGAAACACATTTCCTTAAGAAGTACAGATATTTATGAAATCAGTTAACTACCAATTAAATGTCAGGAAACTATATTATGATCATACCAACTGTGTACAAGTGAGGCAGACAAAGCACTGTCTCTATTCCTACAATTCTGATAGACATCAGAACATTTACTTACCGAAGCCATAACTGTGGCAGCATGCATATGCTGAAAATTACCCGTCTCAGGCGAGATTATTTGTCAAGGAAAAATGATGTAGCCTTTCAAAAGTTTCAGAAAACTGTATTTTTTTGCATTTTAAAAAATAAAAACAGCAGCAAATGTAAAACTTTTAGAAGTTTTTCAGTGTCAGTGTGATTTAGTCTATATTATTTATGGCCAATTACACAGGCCACATTAGCATGATGGCAAAATTGCAAAAATACACTGATAGTCGTAGAAAGTTCTGTGGCTGCTCTACTAACAATGCACAATAATGACCAGCATTCAAACTACAGCGGTGCAAATTGGTCGAAAACAAGCAGACACTATGAGTGTCGAAGTATTCTGCTAATAAAATAACAAAAAATCAAATAAAACAAGGCACAGGTTTGATGATGCTCTTGTTAATATAAACAGCATTGTAATTCAGATTAATGAGGGGAAGCTAAAGGAAAATCAATATGTTTTAATATAGGGGCAAACTGTCCTGTCAGAAATTGATGAGGAATTTGTGTAATCAAGTGGGAGGAGGTGAAGTATAGGATTCAACCAGAGGAGAGCTGCATTATGCTGACCTGTACCTTAATAAATCAGATTTGTGTGACCGATTTAAATTTTCTACTCCCAACATTTTTGCTCTCCAAATTACAAGACACAAGAACACCGGAGTCAACGGCAAAAGGTTGTGTTCAGGCGCAGCACTTAAAGTTTTACAGACATGAGGTGGTACATTTTTTCTAATGCTGAAAAGGATTTCATTTTTGTTACCTGTTGAACAATGTGTTCAAAATGTGTATGACAAACATGATCAGGCGACTGATCACAGACTGATTTGCCATCTCAGCCGTGACGCTGAAGCAAAAAAAGCTGTCAAAACTGTTGTAACTCCTGTAAACACAACACTGACAAGTTATCACTGGCGCCATGATCTTATTTGCAGAAAAAGAAAAAAGAAGATGGACATTTACACATCCTGCAAATACAGAACAATAACAGCGTTAACTTAAAGTGATGAGCACACGTCCAGCGTTCACTCCCCTTTAGCTTTGCTTTGGTGAGCATTTTGGATATAAAGACAAAGATCTGAGCCACGAGGTGTGAAGTTAGAGACAAAGTCCAGCTCAGACCTCGTTCAGTCCTTGTCAGCAGTGGCTGGCCAGGATGTTGAAGAAGTGGTAAACCTCATCTTTATCGAACACGGCCACCTCAGTGGAGCACTCAGAGCACTGCACCGGGTGGTACACCTCATCAGCATCCATCCCCATCGCTGCTGGAGTCTCATCCGCAGGCGTCTCTGTCTGCTGTCCCCTCCTCCTCTTCCTGTTCCTCCGGTTCTTCTCCTGCTGGTTTTTGTAACGCAGCACCTCCTCTCTCTTGACTGTGCAGTTCATCACAAACATTGCTCGATACTGCGTGCGGTACTTCTCGTGCCTGAACGGACACAAGAGTGATGTGTCGTTACATTTTAAAATGACAAAATCTCTACAAACTAATGAACGTTTCTCTTACAATCACTTCAAATCTTTCTTTAAAAAACAAACAAACAACAAAAAACTGATGTAGAGTATGAAGTGACTCACATGCCTTGTGTTGTCAAAACAGCTTTGACTGTGATACTATGATCCCTAATCTAACCAGGCTAATCAGAGACATGTAATGGGAGTTGGGCAATGGCCCATTGGCTCTCCTTAGTCAGTTTTTATTCATATTTTCATCACATATTTAATCACTCCAGCTTGTCAAACATGGGAACTAGTCCTGTGCATATATGAAAACATGGGTGTAGCTTTGGTGTCAGTGAAGTAAAGCTTAAGTGGAAGTGGATTAACCTGCATTCTTTGTAATGGCCAGCAGGGGGGCAGCAGGGGGCGAGTCCTAGCTTTGCGAAAAGGTTTCCAGTTGTTTGAAGTATATGGCTAAACGGCCCTCAGCTCCTGTTATCTGTGCCCTCAGCAAGGACATTCTGGATAAGTTAAATCACCAAATTAAAGTCATAAGGCTCCAGTACACCCTCTGCTTTGGTCGCTTCACACGCTGCAGCAAGCTTATCACGCAGTCACTTCTATTTATGCCCATTAGGGCATAAAGGAAGTCAATGCATTATTTGCCTGAATGATGGGTGTCGCCACTCAAAGAATACCGCCAACATCAGCACTAATATATGAGGAGAAGAAGTCAAAACCCCAAAGTCTCAAGTTTTCAAAATGTTTCAAAATCTCCCTCTGTATATGTGTATGTCTCTGAGCTTCTGTCCTGGAATATCATTAAAATGGTGATGAAAACCTGACACAATCGTACACTTGTGTTCAACCCAGCTGCGACAGCTGCAGTGGAACGCTCCAGGTTACAAAATCAAGAGTTGCACCACAGGTGGAAGATAAATCAAAACAGCAGTGTGTGCGAACTGATGCAAGGTTATTTTCAGTGCACACTGCCGTGCTTTGGGGCACACGGTGAGCATATTGAATACAACATGATGTTGTTCTCAATCACAACAAGTGACCTGAGCTCTCCTAAAATATATTGCATGTGATACTTTGGCACGCTGTGCATAAACAAGGATTAATACAAACACTTTTCAAAGACTTTTCTTAAAATGTCAGTATTATTACGTTCTAGCAATTTTCCCTCTGCTGGACTGAAACTCCACTGTGTAGGACATGAAGCACGTTTTAGTGTAGTAAAAAAGAAACTTGGCCACTATCAGAGATGGTATATGTAACACTACTCCATCATCAGTCAGATTTTGTGGATGTCAAACTTCTGTAGAGGCGAGCAGCTCTGTGATCTCAGTTAACATTAGGCTGACACCTTAATCTGCTGCTGGGTAAAGATAGGGATCTGCACTGTTTTGAAACCTGCTGTGGAGCCTCACCTCTGACAGTCCAGGCAGAGCGTCGTCATGCAGGCGGGACAGTTAAGCACAGCGTCGCTGTGAGGCAAAGCTTGAGGGTGGCGAAGCTTTGAGTGAAAAGCTGCAGCAGGTCGTTTTCTTCTGCTGTACCTACACAGGAAGGTAAGAGGTGGAATGAGTCTCTGGAGGGAAATTTAAAAAAAGAAAAAAAAAGAAGCAAAAACATCTGGTGGCATGTGTTTTAGAAATTGTAAGAGAATCTGTGTTACTCTCTCCTCCTGGCGTCAACCCAGGCCTGGTCTCTGTCGTCCTCGTCGGGGTCGTACAGCAGCTCGTCATTGGTCGGAATGGTCCGCTGTCTCCGCCTCTGGCTTGTTGAGCTGCCTACAGAAGAAATTTTAAATACTGTTAGTGGCAGGTTGTACATGTATTCTGTCATCATGATTCAGTTAAAAGGACTGGATGTTACAGTCCCTGATAATGCATTGCTTTAGATGAAGAGACTCTCGAGGGATGGCTGTTATGAGGAAAAGGCAGCCTAGAAACTTTGCCAGCAGCACACATCGTTGTGTGCCTCAACTTTTGGTCTTTTACCCAGGCTAATCTGCCATTTTCCTTCCTTGGTTAGGTTTAGGGATTAGAGATCGATCCAGATTATCATTTTAAATTTGAGACACATCATCAGTAGTGGACCTTGGATTCATCTGGTGTTTCGGCCATTATCACTAGACACCCTCATCCAAGGAGGCCCTGCCAGGGTCGATCAGGCCCTGGAGTGTGTCACTGGTTTATGTTAAATTGTTACTTCTCTCCTTTTTTCTTCTGTTCAGTTTCCTACAGTTTATTTTCTATCTATTCACTGCAACTGAGAAATAATACTTACCTCTTTAGCATTTATGGAGCCTAACTTCTTCAAAGGGATAGAAAAGGTGATAGCGAGAAGTAAGACAATGACATCTTAATGACTGTTAGTAACCACAGCAGGAAAACCAGTTCTCTTACTCGGTGTGCCGTCCTCCTCTGAGTCCGAGTCAAAATAAACCTCATCATACATCTGTGGGTTAGAAAGTCCAGGACCACCAACAGCACTTCCTTCCCCTTCTGCTCCTCCTCCTCCTGGTCGTTTTGAGGTCTCTACCAGAGAACAAACACACAAATGCTAAGCACAAACTGTATTTACAGAGACGGTCTGTCAGACACAGCAGGATAAGTTAGTTAACCTTGGGATTAAACTTGGCTTCCTCCTATACCACTAGTGACACAACATAATACTTGTTTTGTGCTTAAACATACGCTGCAGCACATTATTTAGTGAGTCAGAAATTAATGCTGGGCTTACACTGTGCGATTTGTGGCTCATTTTGAGCCGATTTTTCAGTCGTGCGACTGTTTTGGGGATCGGCCCGAATTTCGCCTTCATCGTGTTTCGTGCATCGTGTAGTATACGTAGGGTATCGAGAAGCGATTAACACCTCACGACCAGCTCCCGATCATCAATCGCTCGGTCGTAAGAAAACCAAACCTGCTTGAAATCCTGTCGGCCGTCGTGAAGGTGTCACAGCAGCCTCTCACACTGCGCACGCGCAAACACAGAAATGAAAGTGAAAAAACGGGGCACACGACACAAGCGATGGAGGCACAACTTGTAGAACTTTGGCAAGCTCATCTGAGCCTTTCCCATGTGGCCTAACAAAATTATCATGACCACAACAACCGTGAAAATAATTGGATGGACATTGCTGCTCAATCACAGCTGCCTGATCAATGTTTTTCATTAGCAATTTAGCAAAGTTGATGGTGGCAGTGTGCGTGTCTGTGTGAGTGAAAGACAGAGAGGGAGAGCGAGCGACAGATTTTCCGTTATAATGAATAGCCTTTATTGTCATTGTACAAGGTACAACGAAATTGGAGTACCACTCCCTTGGTGCAAAATGCAATAATAAATATAAAATATAAAAAGTACAATAAAACAACCGAAGTACTCAAACAATAATAAGTACGATATATACAGAATAGCAACATTCATATAATGATAGTATGAATAGCAGCATAATATAGTGACAGTGGTAAGTATGGTATAGTTAAGCAGGTTCAATTGTTTTGTGCCTTTTTACTACGGTGATAGCTCTGGGAAAGAAGCTATCCCTGAATCTGTTTGTCCTGGTTTTATGTGACCTGTACCGTCGGCCTGACGGTAATAGTTCAAACAGTTGATTACTGGGGTGAGAGTGGTCCTTGATGATATTGCCAGCTCTGCTGAGGTACCGAGAGTTTGCAATGGCCTCCAGGCTGGGCAGAGAGCAGCCAGTGATCTTCTGGGCTGCGCTGATGACCCTCTGCAGTACTTTCCTGTCTGCAACTGAGCACCCTGCATACCATGTTGTTATGCTGTACGTTAGGATGCTCTCTATGGTGGCTCTACAGAATGTCACCAGCAGCCTCTCCTCCAGGTTGTTCCTCCTGAGCACTCTCAAAAAATGGAGACGCTGCTGGCCCTTTTTTACCACCACTGTGGTATTTGCAGTCCAGGACAGATCATCAGAGATCTGCACGCCCTTCATGTTATGGACGCACAGTGTGAGCACTGAAGTCGCATCAGAGCATTGGGGCGTATAATGTGAGCATCGTGACCTGCGAACTTCTAACCCCTGCGAGTCAATCGTGCAGTTTGAGCAGAAGCTGAATAACGTGACTGAAAAACAAACAAACAAAAAAGAAAAACGCACAGTATCTGCCCAGCTTAACAACAGTGGCAACGCCGGTTGTTTTGGAGCCAGAAGTGGCCATAATTGGACAAGATGATGGAGTGCTAAGTTTTACTCAGCAAATAAATGAACCACACAGCTGATTATTTGTAAGATATTTTCATTAAAAATGCTCAAAACGACAACATCACAAACACTGAATTAGCTAAGATGAAGCTTTGCACACAGCTTTTGGCTATAGCTGCCATCTAATCAGTTAATAGAAAAGTAAATCCAGACATATCACTAAGAAAATACAAATACTAACAGCTGGGTGTTACCTGCTGCTGGTCCCCAGGTTCCCTGCATGGTCTTGATGGTGGAGCTGAGCTCTGCCTCCATCTCTTTTTCAAAATCATCCTCGCTGGATGACTCGCTCTCCCCAGTTAGATACTCTCTGATCAGCTTCTTTTTCTGGTCCGGAGTCCCGTTCAGGAGCACGTCCAGCTCATCCTCCGAACTGAAACAGAGAAAAAGTTTTCAGGAAAAAACCCCAAAAAAACCCACAGACTCCCAAACCCAGAAGATTAAGAAATTGAAGTAACCATTCATATGTTATTCTGCACACGTAACATTATATCATCTGGTGGTATCGTATAGTATTTAAAAGACCAAATAATTAAGCACTTAATTTGAAAACCAAGAATCCACGTCGAAACTGTCGCTTTAAGCTTAACTCAAAACCAAAATAAGTTGCCTGTACTCACTGCATCCATCGGTACATACATATTTGCTGCTTTAATAATGAATAAACTTCAGATCTTCAGGTAGACAAGTTCTTTTGAAGTTTTGGACACATCAAGACATCACTTATAACTATTAATAATTATGACGTCTTGCTTAATTTTCTCCAATTTAGCGCCATAATAATAAATCCAGAATATTCTTGGCTAATTAGGGCAATAATAAGCATCTACACTCGTGTATTTTATTTTCTTCTCACCCGCTTTCCTGCAACATTTAGACTTGTAAAAATCTGCCGCCTTTCTATAAACATAATTAAGCAGTAACATCCATGTCACGTTAAAATAAATTCACCGTAAAGAGGGGCTCAGCGCAGTCTCCCTGCTATTCTAGTTTGTTTACATGTTAGCTCCCAGCTAGCTAACTGCACTTTAGCCTCCCAAAGCCAAAGCTGCGCTGGCCCCTAAAAATAAACACCCGTGTTATCCTCGCACCTGCTGGCGGCCCGCTCTTCGTCGCTCGGCTCTTCGATCTCATATGACTCAAAGTCTTGTGCTTGACCTAGCTTATTCATGTTAAATGTTAGAGGAGCGTTAATTACAATAGCATGAGGTGCTGATAAGTTAGCTACAACACGCCAAATTGCTTGTTCCGCTTCCGCTTCTTCTTCGTTTGTGTTTAATAAGGGTTGGTAAGCGTATACTAAAGTCTATTACCGCCCTCAACTGGGCTGGAGTGTGGGACAGGCGCTTAAGGAGGAATATAACAAAAGGATGAAAAAAAACCTGCTTTATGTTATAAAGTTGTATATATCCCCAACACTGTCACCAGCAAAGCACCTCCACACTATCACACCTCCTCCTCCATGCTTGTAGAGACCATCCGTTCACCTTTTCTGCGTCGCACAAAGACGCATCTCAAATTTGGACTCATCAGACAAAAGCACAAATTTCCACTGGTCTAATGCCAATTCCTTGTTTTTCCTAGCTCCAAACAAATCTCTGTTTGTTGCTTTTCCTTAGTAGTGATTTCTTAGCAGCTATTTGACCACAAAGGACTGATTAGCACAGATGTGTCTGCTTTGGAACCCTCTTTTCCGGACTGACTGAACTTAAGTAATAATGGACTGTGATTTCTCTTTACTTAGGTGACTGCTTCTTGTAATAATATGGAACAAGGTTGTCAGCTGTGTGCCAACCTGACTTCTGCACGACGCAACTGATGGTTTCAACCCCATTAAGCAGGCATAGTTGGTGCTGTGGGAAACATTAAAATCTCACACTCCAAGCCCCGCATAATCACAAAAAGAAATTTAAAGAGTTTTCAGTGAGCAAGCTTTTCTTTATAACTTCTTCAGTTTTACCCATATGGAAAAGATATATATAAATCTTATAAAGTTTGTATCTGTCTTGTGTGAAACTTGTATGAAAAGCATATAAGAGTGAAAACAGATATAAGATCCCTTGAAAAATTATATAATGAAACTTGTATGTTTTGGATACTTACTAAAACAATGTATGAAAGTAATGCGAAAGTGGCCACTTTCATGAGTAAATCATGTAAGCCTTATATGATTTACTCATGAAAGTGACCACTTTCATGAGTAATCACATATAAGTTTTTACTATTTCTTTTCCGTATGGGTAACTGGTGTCGTATTACATTGATTGACAATGTCGATTTAGCTTGGAAATATTTCCAAGAGAGTTTTATCTATTTTGTGGACAAACATGCCCCTTTTGTCAGGTCAGAGTTAAAGGTCGGGTGGGCCCCTGGTTCAGTTCTGAACTGGCTGGTCTCCTACATGAGAGAAACCAGGCCTGGGCAGCTGTGAGATCAGATTCTGATGGTGATTGGCCACTTTTTCATCAGCTGCAGAAAGGCCAACTGTGACTACTTATTGACTTTAACCACTGACACTCGAAATGACCCTAGCTGGTGAGGTTTTGGCAAGCTATAAAGTCTCTCTGTCAGCTCTCATTCCACAGAGCTACCTCCTCACTTAATTATTAACTCCACTCCTGTGTCAGACAAAACCAAAACTCTCAATTGTTGTAACAAACACTTTGTTGCTTCTTATTCTGTGTAGCACATACATATACAACTCTGCTGGCAGTTCCTCAGTTACTAATACTTTTTCCTTTACACCCTTTATGGTAGAGGAGGTATGTATCTGCTCAAGGCATTTCCATTGAAACTGAGGCGTCATACAAATATCTAGGCATTGTGATTGATGACAATCTTTCCTTTAAGCTATGCATTGACCACCTAATAAAGAAACTGAGGGTGAAGCTGGGGTTCTTTTTCAGAAACAGATCATGTTTCTCTTTCACGGCAGGGAAAGGACTTGTTGCTGCCACTTTTTTACCCCTCCTGGATTACGGTGATATACTTTACATGAATGCCTGTGCTCATCTGTTGGATTCTGTCTATCATGGGGCATTAAGATTTATAACTGGCCATAAACCTTTAACACACCACTGTACTTTATATTCTCTTGTTGACTGGTCCTCATTGCTTTAAGCAGGACGGTTCATTGGTATCACTTTATGTATAACTCTATTTCTGGTTTGCTGCCCTCTTATTTATCAGAGTGCATGTTACACAAACAGTTTAGTCATAGACTGCGGTCTCAGGACATCATTACGTTCACTGTTCCACCAGTTCATACAGAGCATGGAAATAAGGTGTTCTCCTTTTCTGCCCTGTCTTCACATTATTGCAGGATTTGAAGCTCTCTCAACTGATTCCACTTGCAGACTTTAAAAGACGAACACATGTTTTTGTGAAATCATCACTGGGAACTTGTTCTTGCCTTTGATATGACTGTGTACATTAGACGAGTTTAGCTATTTTATTGTTTCTGTTGTTGTTGTAAGTTTAATATGTTTGTCTGGAACAGGTCTTGCTTGTAAATGACACATTGAGTCTCAGTGGGTCTACCTGTATAATAAAGGTTTAATAAAAATAAAAATGTAAACACAATATTGAGTTTTTAAATGATTTCATTCATTCAGAAAAAACAAAAAGCCACCCTAATGTACCCAGCCCTGTATCAAAAAGTAATTGGTGTGAGGCTGCTTTGATGTTTGACGACCTGGACAATTTGTCGTAATTCATGGAACCATGAATTTTGCTCTCTGCCACAAATCCTGAAGGAAAATAGCTAGCCACTAGCTTGTACCTTGAAGCTCAAGAACACTCAGGTTATGTAGGAGCACAATGATCTGAAACACACCATCAACTTCACCTCTGAAAAAAAGGTTGTCGAATGGCCTCGTCAAAGTCAGAGCAGTTTTAGACGCATGACCTTAAACAGAAAACCCTTCAATGTGGCTGAAGTAGAACAATTCTGGAAAAAAGAGTGGGCCAAAATTCCTCTACAGCTTTGTGAAAGACTCATTGCCAGCTATTACAAATGTCTGATTGCAGTTCTCGCTGCCAAGGGTGGCACAACCAGTTATTCTGTTTAGGTGGTAATTACTTTTTCACACAGGCTTGGATATGTTTTTTTCCTTAGTAACTGAAATCATCATTTCAAAACTGCAGTTTGCATCAACTGCGTTTTATCTTTGTCTAATATTACAATTTATTGGATGATCAGAAACATTTAAGGTGTGACAAATACACAAAAACTAAAAACTTCTTCACAGCACTGTATATTACCTTATAACATTTGTGCACTCAAACAATTTTTTCCCCAGGTGATGAAATAAATTAACAGTTTGTTTCATTGGTTGAAATGGTCATTTCAAGAGTATTTCATGTAAGAAAGCCATGAAAGCTGACTGCATCACTGATACTGGAGGTGATTCTCAGGAGTCAGGTTTTGATGGTGATGCTGGCATGTAGGCCGCACATCCACAGTAAAGCACTGGCTTCATTAATGCAGTTTGTGCACCATCTTTAGTCGTCAGAGGACATACTGGAGGATCTCTCGACACCTGTCTCTTCTCTGTTTTGATATTGTCCGTTAAAGCTTTGGTAAGCATTGGTGAAATATGCCGTGATAACATTTCAGCAGAGTTTTATGTCGTATTTATGGATGGCATGGTGAACTGTGTCCACAGACAGTGATTTCTGTGATTTCAGTGACAGAATCATGCCTGTTTTTAATGCATGTGAAATCCCCAAAATCATCACCCAGTGTTGATTGTTGACCTTGCACACAGATTTCTACAGATCTAGTGATGATATAATACACTTTATGAGATATTCTTTTGAGATAAGTCTTTTTTTGTTGGAGAGCATTATTCTGAAGTTGTTCTATTTTTGGGGATGCTTTTTTTTTTGCAGATGAGTGAAGCTCTGCCAATCTTTACTTCTGAGAAACCCTGCCTCTCTGAGATCCTTCTTTTATACCCAACCACATTACTGACCTGTTGTCATTTAACATAAATGGCAGCAAAACGTTCCTCGAGCTGTTTCTTTGTAGTACTACTTACTTTTCCAACCTATTCTTGCTCTTTCCTAACATTTTTGTTTCAGCTGAAAATGAATAGATTTTTTTTTCTAAATAGTTAAATGTGAATTGTCAATAAAATGTGGATTTTTAGGATTTACAGATCATTCTGTCTTTCTTTATATTTTACACAGTGTGCTAGTGTTTTTGGAAGTGGGGATGTATTTTCTTAGGTGATTAGAGATCGTCCACTATTGCTGAAGGAGAGCCCGACCCAACAAGACACTACAAAGTGGTTGATATTTACAAGATACAAGTAGACGTGGTCGTGTTTTTTGTCTTGCCAGATGAAAGATGCTTATAAAAGACAGAAGAGAACTGCAGGAGCAAGAGCCTTGCATGCAGAGACCATAGATTTAAAGAATGTGAGATAGAGATGGAGCCGCCACTAGATGGAGCCAAAAGATCAGACATGTTGTTTCAGATGCTCAGGACAGATGCGCTGATGAAGGCCGACACCATGAGGTGCTATTAGGAAGGCGGATTTAATACACAAATTCATCCATCCATCTATCCTCTTGCGCTTGTCCTGGTCCCTACTCCTTTAGTTTTTCCCATTTTTGAATTACTGATGAAACTGTGTGCAGGGTGATGCTGCTTAAATAGTATGCTGCGTGAGATTTAGTAGTTTGATAGCCTGAGTTGATCTACTGAGACTGCAGCTTAATTTTGTGGCCTGTTTGGACTAATGTTTAATTTTCCACAGTACTCAGTAATTCTAAAATGAGTGTAAATTAAATATCTAAAATAAGTGGTTAATTAATTTCAATAATTTAACCATTATGAAAATATGCTTGGTTTATACAGAATATATATCAATTAGTTACATTTAATCCAACAAGATTAAATAAATTTTAACATTTTACATGATTTTATGTAACAAAACATGTAATCAAATGATCTAAAGTCAAGGTTTTGGGCATAAATATTTTTTTTTCTGTTTTCATGCATCTGACTGAGCATGAAGACATATGGCCAACCTGAAATCTGATCACATCACTACCAAATCAGTACATCAATTTCAATTCTTTTTTATTTATTATCCATCCATTATTTTTAACTACTCATCATGCGTCACCAGTCCTGCACAGGGCTAACACAGAGAAACAGACAACCGTTCACTCTGGCATCCAAAACAACAAAACAAAAACAAAACCAAATGAACCCATAACACACTGTTTTTGTGTCTAACTGTAT